CAATTTCATTCATATACACATCACACCCAGACCCGGAACAACAATTTGAGAATCACACAAAGAGATGATCCGTGCGGGACTCGGATCGCGACACGTTGCGCGGCAGCCAGTCGCCCAGCCACCACGTCAACCGTGCAGTCAATTTGTCTATAAAACATCACGCTACGATCAAATGAAGCCGAGCAGCGAGTGAAACCTATAGCACTCAGGAACATTGTAGCTATCTATCAGTGAAAGAATTTTGACAATCCGACCAGCGGCCCCAAAGATTACCCCCTACATACAAACTTACAAATTTTACGTCTTTATTATGAAAATGAAAAATGAAAAATAACATTGTCTGTATATCCGTGATATAATAATGATTTATTAAAAAGGTCAGTCAGCACATTTAAAAACAAGAACAAAAAACATTCAGCCTTAAAATACCATCGATGAAATGTAGCCAATGACGAAATACTTACACGCATACATTTTTAAAATGGTAACCCATAAAAGGAACGGCGACCTTAAGAAATATGCGAAAAACGTATGCGTGACGTCATAAGTCGTTATGACGTCACTGCATATAAAAACTCCGTTACAACAATTGAGTCATCAATAGGAAATAGATGGACTGAATGAATTAATTTTTTTATGGTGTAGGTCGACAAGCGGACTGACGGATTACCTGATGGTAAGCAATCAGCACCGCCCATGGACACCCGCAACACCGTTGCCGGCCTTTAGCTTATGAAGGTTTCAGATGTTAAAGTATTAGGAAGGGATGGGGGTAGGGGAAGGGATTGAGCCTCCTGTTACCTCATTGACACGGCGAAACACAACGCTGTGATTGTTTTAAGCGAAGTAATTCCACAGCCTTACGAAAACTGTATGACAACGTTCATACCATGTTGAAAGCACCGGTTCTCGTCCGATCACCGAAGTTAAGTAACATCGGGCGCGGTTAGTACTTGGATGGGTGACCGCCTTGGAATACCGCGTGCCGTTGACTTTTCCGAGCGTACGGCGCGTAGTGTTCCGAGCGCGCCTCAAAGAGCCTATAGACCACCACAGACGGGGCCCTATAGGGCTGATGTTCAGCCGGGGTTGCGGGGTAAGCGCAATTAGGCACCGCGGCCTCGGCCCAAAGCAGCAGAAGGAACAGGGGGGTTTTTAGTCAGTAAGAGTTGCCACTCCCTCTCGCCCGGCCCTGGGCGGGAGAAGTCATTTGATGATTTTCCCCTCACAAAAAAAACGAAAACTGTATAGCCAACACAGCTTTGTGTTTCGGTGTGTGAGTTAGATAACCAGAGACCCTAAATCCACAAAACCTCTTCCAAAACATCAGTATAAAGCTATGTAAAATATAAAGTTTTTTAAAAAGCGTCACTTTTTTATCATAATTATGGTGTCATCATCTGAGTCTAAAATTAATTGGTAGGTAACTGCATTCATAATGTTGAATAACTATTTTCTACCTGTCTCTTTCTTAGTTGAGACGAATGATTTGCTATCTCTTTTACTCTGCAGTTTTTTTCTGAATGGGTGGGTGTCTCAAGGTTTTACTAAGAAAAGATTTGTCGTGTTGACATATTTTTTTTATTTGTTTGTTTAACAAAGCTAACATTACGCTTCTTGCAATTTTAAGGGGAAAGCAAAGATGTATCGTTATGTCTGTATAATTTATTATTCAGATGTCCGCCAATTATGTAATTGAGTAGTTTCTAGTTTCCTAGGTCAAAAATAAATTGATTTGATGTTTCAATACCATTACATATTGAAAAATAACTATAGGTACTTTTATTCATCGATCGATCGATACATTAAGTTTTCGATTTTTTTAGCTAATTATTATGAAATAAGTAAGCTATTTTACGCAAAAAAGTTATGACGTCATCACTCAATTTCATAGAAAAGTACCGTTTTTTAATAAAAGTATTGATTTTTTGGATAAAAGTATTGAATTTGACTAGTTGGAAACTACCGTATTTCATAGCATAGTTCTTTTTTGTGGGATAGGTCGGCAAAATATTATAAGGATTAAATGATGGTAAGCAATCGGCGCCGCCCATAAACACTCGTAGTACCAAAGGTACTTTGCCGGCTTTTTGAGGGTTATTAAGGATTCAATGATTGGGGATTTGGGGATCAAGGAAGGGTTGAAAGGTCGTCTCCAGTAACCTCATTCACCTCAACCTCATTCATGCCCCTGGTACACTTTTTTATCATTCATTCTGAATGAAGTCGACTGTCTGCAGTCGTGATTCTACAATTAAAATTGGTGTCAACATTGCTTATGTTTTTAACGATAGACTGAGTGGGTCAAGGCTCTGGGTTTTCCTAACGCCTAATGTCGTAAGTACTCAGAATATTCTAGTCATCATACTAGATAATAGGAAACTTACTATATCATATTATGGGTGGGAATTGGGCCTTCGGTAACCGCACGTAAACGGTGAAACACCAGCCTTGAGTTTTTTCACACCGCTTTTGTGTAAGTCCATAGTGAACTCCTGTTGAGCCGGCCCATTCGTGCCGAAGCATGACTGTGCCTAACTTGTATATTCTTTTTATTTTAAGACACTGTCTTTAGCAACCCATAATAAAATAAAGATAAAAAATTGCAAGTATGTTACCTGGCTTTTTTGGCGGCCTCACTCAATATACACCGTGGCTTGACATAACGTTGGCGTTGGTCACGTGTGTTTTCCAGTCAAGCCGAGACAAGTTAAAAAATTGGTAAAGTTTGTGAGCAAGTATGTATGTATGTATGTATTTTATTCTTTCACGCAAAAACTGTTGGACCGATTTGGTTTAAATTTAGTAAGTATTCAGATAGATGACACCCTTTTTCAGTGTCAGGGGAAATCATCAAATTACTTCTCCCGCCCAGGGTAAGGTGAGAGAGAGTGTCACACTCTTACAAATTAAAAACCCCCCCGTTCCTCCTCCTGCTCTGTGCCGAGGCCGCGGTGACTCATTGCGCTTATCCCGCAACCCCGGCTGAACATCAGCCCTATAAGGCCCCGTCTGTGGTGGTCTATTGGCTCTTTGAGGCGCGCGAGGATCGCTACGCGCCGTACGCTCGGGTCTGGTTCTGGTCGGGCTCCGAGCTATCCTCACTCGCCGTCCGCAGACCCGCGCTTACGGTGGCCGGAGATCATCTCTCGAGATAGGTAGGCTCTTTATTATTATTTAACATACACATAAGCTAGAACCAAATACTACTTATTACTCAGGAAACGCGGTCGAAACCGTTGAAAGAAATATAATGCTATACAACAAACCCACTAAAACAATTTAAAACATTGGGCAATCAAAGTGGAAGCCATATAAATAACTCAGACAGACAGACATAATCGCCTCTTATTCTTTATTTGACATTGGCTAGGTCAGGTACCCAAGCGTATCATTTAATGGGGCCATTTGCAACGTCAATTCAGATATGAACAACATGACCGTCTTATTTCCTGACGGGATAGGCAGAGACAAATACGGTAAGTTGGCAACACGTAGGTACAGATAGGATTTTTGTGCCCCGTACAGTACGGCCAATCTTATATCTTGTATCTTGGCGAGTCTGAAGTTAGCCGTTTGTCTGCGCAATGGATCATTTAGGAACAAAATTGTGTACTGCGCAGCTACTCGGCTAACTTCAGACTCGCCAAGATACAATGGCCGTATAGTAAGGTTGCCCAATCGTTCAGTCAATAATGGATTTTTATTCCGGGTTTATTTGGATTGCTATAGAACTTTAAGGATCATACAGTATATCTTTTTTTGAATGGTGAAAATGTTCGATATGCATCTTCCATCCTGGAGGGGGCGAAATGGGGAGTTAGACTCTTACTCTTACTGACTATAAACCACCACGTTAATTCTCCTGCTCCAGAAGGAGGCCGTGGTTCCTTATTGCACTTCTACCCTCTTAACCACTGCTCAGCTCCATTTAATCGTAGCGTGATGTTTTATAGCCTATAGCACTCAGGAGCCTTGTAGCTCAGACAAAAAAATTTTGGCAATCCGGCCAGCGGTTCCAAAGATTACCCCCTACATTGGTTAATGAATACGTAAGCGCAAATCTCGAAAACTGCTGAACTGAGTTCGTTAATTCATAATTGTTGGGTTCGTCATTATCGACAGAATGTTCTTTTGAAAGAAAAGTTAGGTGAAATTATAACGTATAGGCTGATGATGGGTGAAATAATTGGTATTTATGGGTAGGATTGGGGGGGGGGGGGAAGTAATAAGTTCGAAACCCGTACAAAACAGCAAAAACTAAAATTAAATGTCAACAATGTCAATTAAACGTAAAATTGTTATTGGTTCTGACATTGTATTACGTGCGATGTATAGTCGACACAAATTAATTGGAAAAACCTCTTGTGAAGTAGACAAGATCTAATTCATTGGTCGTATGAATTACAATCCATGCTATTTTGGGACTCCAAGGTCAAAATGACTATAGGTTTTGATAGAATTCTATCAGAGATCGAAATGAGAGATAAATGAATTGAAAACATTAGTTAATTTTATTATGTCGCGTCTGGTTACGTACTCACGTTATTGTTAGACGAGGAAGCACGACTATTTTCAAGCCACGCCGAAACTATTCGAGTTGACTCGTAAGTAAACAGAATAACAAAATAAATTTTAGGTGTATGTGTGTATTGAGAGGCAAAAAAATATTATTATTATATTCAACGTCTTCGGTTGCATCTTCCTATCCGTTAGCGATAAACTTCAAAAACAACTGAACGGATTTTTATGAAATTAATAACAGAGCATAGAGTGTGTTTTGAGTGCACAGTTGACGCGGTTGCTAGGATAGACGGCTGTCATGCATCGTGTCACCGGTACAATTTCTGCACAGAACAACTCTTTGTGTGATCCAAAAATTGTTGTACTGGGTCTAGATGTGATGTGTGTGTGAAATTGTATGTTTGTAAACAGACCTATGAAAACTACACCTACCAGGGAAAATTCTAGAAGAGAAAACATAACAAAAACAAAAAAATATGAGTCTGCAGGTAGGTTTTTGTGTAATATTTGAAAAAAGCTATTTATTACTTATAAATAGCTTTTTCTATCTTATAAAAAACTGGAGTCCGAATCGTGTTTTAAAACATGTGAACATACAATTTTAGGTTTAATTTAAAAAAACAACCTTGAATGAAGGCCATACTATTGAGTCTCAATAACTCGGATTTTCGCTTCAAACTTAGGTATAATTCTATGTAAATTATTATTCTATGACAATCATTTTATTGTTGTAAGTAAATACAATGCTTTATGTATAATTTATTAAAAATACTACTCTTTGCCCGGGGCTTGGTTCGCGTGGAATAGTGACTTCCTGGAGATTTTTGGTATAAAAACTATCCTATGTCCATTCTCGAGTTCCAAACTAAATATGTCTGTACCAAATTTCACAAAGAGAAAGAAATCGGTTCAGTAGTTTAGGCGTGAAGAAAAGACAGAAAGACAGAGTTACTTTCGCATTTATAATATTAAGTTTGGATAAGCAGCGAACTTAATACTTTGACAGCAGTTATAGCTTAGGCTGATAATGGGGATGTGAAATACACATTAAATATTACACAAAAAAAACTTATTTCTGGATTATTGTTACGGGTACTTTTTAGCACCAGACCGAATCCGTGAATGGCTCAATTTATTAGGAATACACGAGGAAAATAACAATCAATTCGAATTGCTGAAACTAAATCAATTGAATTCTATTTACGAGTAATTTTAGAATAACAAAAACGTTATTATCATTTCGTCCTACGCCCGAATATTCTCCGAAGTTTTTGAGAACGCAGCTGTTTGAGATCTATCGAAGACTCGTGATAGCTATTTACTTGATCTGGTTACATAATATCATGATTTTCAATATCCAAACGAATCTTTTTTAAATTGAGATTTCCAACCACAGAATGTGGAGATTTTATGGCGAACCATGTAGTTTGTGTAGCCACAATTCCATTCAAAATATTTATTAGTAATACTTCTTTACGACGTATTCTATTTTGTGGTCGTTGTCGTGTGGCGTTTGAGAGTTTCTGGGTATATTAAGATAGACTTCCGTCAGTAATAGAAGATGGAGGAAACCTGGTTTTATAATTTCTAATAATAAGTTTGAAATGGCTAATCCGCCTTGAGCAAGCATGGTCAATAATGCTCAAATCTTCTCCGTGTGTGAAGAGGCCTTTGTTCAGTAGTATGCACTTATAGGCTGATAACGATTATAATTTGAGGTCGAGGTGGTGAGAAGTTTATTAAATTAAACATTATTGACAGAAGGTACAAGGAAAAGTCGTGAGGAAACCTTTTTTTTTGTCAGGGGAAAATCATCAAATGACTTTTCCCGCCCAGGGAAGGCGAGAGAGTGCCAGACTCTTACTGACTAAAAGCACCCCCGTTCCTTCTCCTGCTCTGGGCCGAAGCCGCAGTGACTCATTGCGCTTAACTCACACCCGGCTGAACATCAGCCTTATAGGGCCCCGTCTGTGGTGGTCTATCGGCTCTTTGAGGCGCGCGGAAGGCTAAGGCTACGTGCCGTGGTTCTGGTCGAGCGGCGAGTTGCCCTTACTCGCCGTCCGCAGAGCTGCCCTTACTCGCCGTCCGCAGCAGTAAGGTACCCTGAGCTCGACTTGGAGCAGGAGAAGGAACGGTAGGTTTTTAGTCAATAAGAGTCCGACATATCTGTATGGGCGAGAGAATTCATCTAATGATTTTCCGTCCACAAACCCCTATAATACAGAACCTGTCTTTTTATTCCTGTTAAGCTTAAAATAGTTAAGTCCAAATAAAAAGTACTTCTCACGAAAATAAACGAACGACCTTTTTGTTGTAATTACAATTATTTAAACACAGACAAGGAAAAAATTACCAATATTCCGTTTCCTTAAGTGCTAAAGCAATTTTCCTGTTAGGATAGGACCCTGATACCGTAACAGAGTATTATATTATGTCCGTCCTTATTTTGACATTTATCAAAAAGTTTTTTAACAATATCAACACCCTATCTGGCAGTATAGTCGAAAACACAGAGTAGAAGAGACGGTTGTCATTAAAAAAGAAGTTCAATTCTGTCAAAGACTGCACGCTGTGACTGTTCAAAACTGCACGGTTGTCGCGGTGGCTGGGCAACTGGCTGCGATGCTCCATGTCGCGGTTTTAATTCTCGCACGGAACAGTTGTACGTTTGTAAACGCACCCACGACACAGGAAAAAATCCTAGTGTGGGGAGACGTTTTTCTAAAAAAATATTATTTTCCTTTTGCACTTAAAAATGTGTAAGATATCTCATGGAATTATACTTTCTCCGTGATAGGAGTTTTTAGAAACATTAAATTCATATGTGACACATATCACACTTAGATCCAGAAACTACAAATTGTTGATCACACTAAGAAGAGAAGAACGGAAATCGCTGCGGGAGAACGTTGCGAAGCAGGCATCGATAATCATGCAATCATGCAATCTTGCACTCTGCAAGATTGCAGGGCAAGCGTAATAAGGCACCGCGACCTCGGCCTGGATCAGAAGAAGGAACATGGCGGAGTCTAAAACTCTCATTCGCATCATCCTGGGCTAGAGAAATCAGTAGAATATTTTCTTCACATAAAAAAAACACAAATTACATCTGACTAGCTCACTCTTCAAGAAACAAGAAGGTGGATGATGAAGACACACGGATAAGTTTTTTTTGTCAGGCGAAAATCATCAATTGACTTCTCCCGCCCAGGGAAAGGCGAGAGAGAGTGTCAGACTCTTACTGATTAAAAACCCCCCGTTTCTTCTTAGGCGGCGGTGCCACATTGCGCCTACCCCGCAACCCCGGCTGAACATCAGCCCTAAAGAGCCCCGTCTGTGATGGTCTATTGGCTCTTTGAGGCGCGCGGGGATCGCTACGCGCCGTACGCTAGGGACCGGTTCTGGTCGGGCGGCGAGTTAACCTTATTCGCCGTCCGCAATCGGCGCTTGAGAGAAGAGAGAAGAAGAGTCTTAGCAATAGGGTTCTCATAACCCCCAAAATAATAGGCCTTACCTAAAAACATGACCCTAATTCACACCTTTTCTAAGAAAAACCAGGTTATCCATGAAATCCGTGAAGTCATAGCCTTTTGATCATCACCTTTCATCCAAAATTAGACCTAAATGCGTACTAGATGTTGAGTATAACGAAAACATTTTCGCGTGACCTTTGTAACAGAAGAATGTTATTAAAAACCTTTATATACGAAATTGGACGTTATTTTTAGACGCGTACGACGTAATATGCTGTGAATACCTGTGCTAGATTTTACGGGAATTTGTGAGATGTGGATATTTTCATTGTAACTTTTGAGTATGTGTATTATAAGAAAATTGTTAAAGATCGTGGTGACTTTAATTAAAAGGCAGCTGCAGCTTTTCATGGATGAGGTTCAAAACCTGAAGTATCAATGTGTCCTTTTCTAAGTTATATGTACTTTCTAATTAAGTATATTAAGTCATCACATACGTAAAAAAAACATCGGGACCTGGACTTACAATTTCAAATTATAAGTTTGAAATCACCGATCTATCTTGATAAATCTTGATAATTGATGCTAAAACCTACTATAATTTATGAAGATCGATTTTATATTCGAATTTTTGAATTAACTAGATTTTGAAGATTTTGAAGTGTAGTATCTTCCCTATGTGAACTTTGAATCGAGCAAAAGTATGGATGAGTTTGATACTCTTACTTTTAAAAACTACTGAACGGATTTGAATGAAATTTGACACTTATATAGATTACTAGCGGCCCGCTCCCGCTTCTCACGGGTCCAACTATCTCGCTATGAAAGGGCCACTTTTTCCTAATCTTCCCCTCTAGTTTTCAAATATTTTTTGATGGGAACCTTCTCCTGACAATAATAAACACAATAAAGAAAGAATTAGCAAAATTGGTCCAGGCACTGTTGAGTTATGCGCTTACCTGACTGTCTACCTGTCTGTACCAGTCTGACAAAACATATAGGCTACTTCCAACCCTGGAAATGCGAGCGAAACCGCTGGCAAAAGCTATCATTTAAGACGTTCAAAACATAAGATTTCATATTTACCACTATTCTTTTTAAACAGATGCCAAGGCAATTTGCATATGTCATATAAACTATTGTAGAATTCTAATGAATCGATAATATCATTCTATTAAAACAATAAGCTATTAAAGAAAGGCTTTGAGGAAATGTGAGGAATTCCATTGTATTGTGAAAAAAAATGAAAATTATCCATCGATTAAATAAAATATTATGAATGTCATGGAATCTGACGTATGTAAAAATCGAAGCTACTAGGTTTTTTCTCAATTTCAATGGTAAGTGTGGGAGATCCATGCGTTGGCATGAATTTCTTCTTTTCTTTTTCACCGACCAGAGTACAAGGGACGATCTTCGGCCACCGTAAGCGCGGGTCTACGGACGACGAGTAAGGGTAGCTCGCCGCCCGACCAGAACCAGACCCGAGCGGACGGCGCGTAGCGTTCCGTACGCGCCTCAAAGAGCCAATAGACCACCACAGACGGGGCCCTATAGAGCTGATGTTCAGCCGGGGTTGCGGGGTAAGCGCAATGAGGCACCGCGACCTCGGCCCAGAGAAGGAGAAGGAACAGGGGGTGTTTTTAGTCAGTAAGAGTCTGACACTCCCTCCCGCCTTACTCTGGGTGGGAGAAGTCATTTGATGATTTTCTCCACTCAAAAAAAGAAGGTTTCTGTTTCGCTGTGTGAGTGACGTAACCATTACCCACTCGTTCCTAATCACTAAATCTTCAAAACGCTAACCAACAAAAGGCTGACAACACAGTCGTATTTTCTCCTGTGTTGCAGATGTCCATGGGAGGCGCCGATTGCTTACCATCAAGTAAAGCGACGGATCGGTCGCCACATAAAAACACAGTTTAATTGGATATAAAAACCACTTGTTATGATAGTAGAGATAAATTATAAAATACTTTTTAAAGGTTAGTTTTTAGGAAAATTTGGTACTTACAAAATTACTTTTGGTCATAAATACCTAGTTTACTTTAGAATGTCTCTTGTACCTAATTAGTAATTAACTAAATGGCGGATGTTATCTCCTTAATTAAAATGAGATTAAAATTTTGTCTGGCTGGGATGAGGTTTTTTGATTAATCTGATATTATTAGAATAACTGTCCTGGGGTAGTTATACGAGTATCTATACTAATATTATTAAGCTAAATAGTTTGTTTGTATGAACGCCCTAATCTCAGGAACTACTGGTGAGAAATGAAAAATTATATTTGAGTTTAATAAACCAAATATTGAGGAATGATTTAGGCTATAAAACACCACGCTACGATCTGTAGGAGCCGGGAGGCGGGTGAAACCGCGCGATAGTGCTAGTTAGTTATATAAGTCACCGTAAGACTAAAGGACAATATTTTTTTATGACATAGGTCAGCAAACGAGGAGACGGATTACCTGATGGTAAGCAATCAGCGCCGCCCATGGACACTCGTTATATCAGAGGAGTTACTATGAATGCGTTGCCGGCCTCTTGTGGCTTATTGGGGAATTAAGGATAGGGGATTTGAGGATTAAGAGTGGGGAGGGAAAGGATGGGCAATCGGTAACCTCACTCACACGGCGAAACACAATGCTGTGGTTGTTTCACGTTGGTTTTCTGTGAGGCCGCAGTATCACTCCGGTCGAGCCGACCCATTCGTGCCGAAGCATGGCTCTCCCACGCTGAACCCAAAATGCTTGACAACATAATAAAAATATTTTATCAAACTAGGTTAGGTCTTACACTCACTGGGCCAAAAACGAATTTTAAAATTTCTCAAAACTTTCCATTACCCAAAAAACCCATTAAAAACTTCTTAGATCTAATTTTGATCAAAGGTTAAGATCAAAAAGAGGTTTTGACCTTCTAAGGGACGCAAAATTTTACGGATAACCTGATTTTTAATTGGGTAAAGGTCAGTAATGCGTTTCCAGTTTGATAAACAAATATGCCTTTACATTTGGGTCACATGTATTAACGTTGTAAACAAAATTATGACGTCATTATAAAAGGTGGATTCTTTGGCACTGCGTAGGGATGTAGCCTCGCTATGTATTCTCTATCGCATCTATCACGGGGGGTGTTCTGAGGAATTGTTCGGTTTGATCCCCGCCGCATCTTTTCGCCATCGTTCCACGCGAAAACATGTTCATCCCCATCACATAGATGGTCGGCAATCTGTGCGATTCACGCGTAACTTTCTGCCCCGCACAGCAAAACTTTGGAATGATATTCCGGCGGTGGTATTCCCGAACCGATACGACCTTCAAACCTCCAAGAAACGAGCGTACTCCTTCTTAAAAGGCCGACAACGCATCTGTGACTCCTCTGGTGTTGCAGGTATCCATTGGCGGCGCCGATCGCTTACCATCAGGTGATCCGTCTGCTCGTTTGCTTTCTATTCCATAAAAAAACAATGGTGTGGAAGAGCCATGCTTCGGCATGATTGGGCCGGCTCGACCGGAGTAAAATCGCGGCCTTAAAGAAAACCAGCTTGAAATAACCACAGCGTTGTGTTTCGACTTGTGAATGAGGTTACCGGAGACCCAATATTTCTTCCCAAATCCCTAAATCTCCCAAACCCTAATCCCCAAAAGGCCGACAAGAAACTCGTAACTCCTCTGATGTTGCGGGTGTCCATGGGCGCCGCCGATTGCTTACCATCAGGCAATCCGTCTGCTCGTTTGCCATCCTATCACATCACAACCGTTTATTAAATTCATTCAGAACATTTGACATGTAAATTTCTTCCTCTTTTTTCGATATTCGAATACTTCTAACGGCATATTTTATTTGAAAGATCATGTTACGTCACGACTCAGTACATTTTTTATTGAGCGGTGCGAACGACGCGACATTCCATTTCTGAATTTAAATTCGTTTTATCTAAATGGGTAAGTATTGTTTTCTTACAAGACAAAATAAAAAAGTGACAATTAAAAAACATGTGACGGACAAGCTAATTCGATTTTTGAATTTCATATTTTCCCATCTATACTAATATTTTTGTCAATTTGTATGTAGGGGGTAATCTTTGGAACCGCTGGTCAAATTTTCCAAAATTCTTTCACTAATTGATAGCTACAATGTTCCCGAGTGTTATAGGCATAAATAGCTACAATCAAATGGAGCCAAGTAGCGAGTGAAAACGCGCGGGAATAGCTAGTTATTCATATAGTAACAGTCACATTCTTGTTATTTTCTAAGGATATAGGTAAAAGATAGAATTATGGAAAGAAAGCCAACGAGAATTAATAGGCAACCTTTTTTACCAAAAGAAAGAAAGAAGGAAGTTTTCTTTCTTTCTACATCTTTCACATTCCGTGACACTGCTGAACCATATAATTCCTCTACTTAAGAGGTATTTTTCACTATTGAACAGGTCGGCAAACAAGCAGACGGATTACCTGAAGGTAAGCAATCAGCGCTGTCCATGGACATCTGCAACATCAAGGAATTATAAGAGCGTTACTGGTCTTTATAGATTAGATATTTGAGGATTGGAGGATTTGGTGATTGGAGATAGGACAACGGGAAGGATGAGTAGAGGATTGCCATAACCTCCATGCTTGATGGCCAGGTTAAGAATATTCAAGTTCAGAAGTCTAACTGTTCGGTCCATTTTCTGCAGTTCCTCATTTGAATCATACGGAACGCGCGAAAAGATAGAAGATAGGAAAAAAAGTATCCAACTCGACCACATTCAAAAAAAATGTGCCAATTCTTAGGGGATATAAAGGTGAATGGCATGCTTATATGGGAGTTTTGTACAGCATAAAAATTTCGTGTTTGGGATACTATTTGTTCTAATTTGGTAGTTAATATTATAGACTAACCCTCCCTAATATCTTAGATTTCTAGATAGCAGGACAAAAAAGTTACAAGCAGTTTAATTTTTTGAGGTTATGTACAAGTGAACCGATGTAGTTTGTTACATAATAGGTGGATTTAAACATTGTTTTGGTAATAAAGTAAATGCTCTAAATTCCTTGTCGCTATTTTTGTAGTGTTTTACTTACCAACTTCATTTTAGCGTATGTTTTGTGTATCGTATGTTATGTTTAGTGTCAAAGCTTTCAAGTAACTTAGCATGATCCAGTGCTGTTAGATGACTACATCTAGAACCGACTTTTACGTGCCATATATATATATTATATATTATTTATTATACTACCTATATTTCCATATACATCCCATATACCGAGCAATGCTCAAGTCAACGTAAAACAGCCAGGTAATTCGCTAAATTGCTTAGATGCAGTCACAAACCACAATCCAAAACAACAGCAAAGAACTGAACTGAACTGACAGAGGGATTTTCTTTGTCTGTCAATAAAATATAATTGCCATAACAAGAAAAAAATATTGAAGACGAAAATCATTCATATAAAAAATCGAATTTGACTATATAAATATCAAACAATGAATAAAACTATTATTATTTTATGCAAAAATAATGCATTTTTATGTACAGATATAATGTGTTTTTATATACTTTTTGTTATTTCTAAATAATTTCATTCTGATATTTGTGTAATATTACGTATGGCAACTTCTGAAATGACAACTGCGTTTAGTTTAGGATTATATTACGTTTAGTAATTAAAATATTTTTATTGATATTACTAATTATTCAGACTACCTAAAAATATTATACTTACACGAAAATAAAGGGCTTACTTGGCTTAATAAGTGGTATAAATTCTATAACAATTCAACGAAAAAAGTATACTGTACAAATCCTGCCGTTCGTCTTTATTCGTTTAATAAATCAACTTTTAAAATGGAAAATTACTCTGACATAAAATTACATACATTACCTAATTCAAAATAGGAGTTATAAATGACTTTCCATCATGATATTCCCAAAAGGGTTTTATAGGTAGAACTGAACTAATTAGCTAATTCCCAGAATTTACATAATGTTTATGTAACTATATCCAACCAAAATTATTTTTCCTTATCGTCATCATACATACACCTCCCCAATTGCACGCCACTGAGCTCGATGTTCAGCTCTTTTCATCCAACCACTGCCAGCCACCCTGCAGATGTTGTCAGTCCACCTAGCTGGAGGGCGCCCTACACTACGTTTGTCTAGATGTGGTCTTCACTGCAGAAAAAGTTTAGGTTTACTTTCCTTATCCTACTAATATTATAAAGTTATTTTTTATATATTTTGTCTGTACAAACGCATAATTTTAAAAATGTTGGTTAGCTCGTAACTGGCTCATGTATAAGGCTACTACCTTTAAACAATACTTTTAACTATTTTGTATATACTATAATAATATTATAAAGAGGTAAAATTTGTAACTTTGTAACTTTGTATGTAGGGGGTAATCGTTGGAACCTCTGGTCGGAATTCGAAAATTCTTTCACTGATAGATAGCTATAATGTTCCTGTGAGCTATAGGCAGCGGGTGAAACCGCGCGAGAATAGCTAGTAGGTTCTTCTTTTTCCAGGGCGTCTTCAGTGACGCCAACGTTGTGTACCAATATTCTACCAGTAAGTTCAGTGCACGTGCTACCTAATAAATAAAGTCAATTTTGTAAGTATATCACAGACATAGAAACTACTGAATCTATTTGTGTGAAATTTGGTACAGACATAGTTTGGAACTTGAGAAAGGATATAGGATAGTTTTTAAACCAAAAATCTGCAGGAAGTCACTATTCCACGCGAACAAAGTCGCGGGTCATAGCTAGTGTATTATAATCTGTCTTCACAACACGGCTTATGTATGTTAGTTCTTATGTACCTTGTATATACTTCATATTCCAATGTTTGCTTTAATAATTTGCATCTTTGTATAGTACATGATTTGAGATCGTGATCAGCAACTGACGATACTTAGTATTACTGCGTGACGAAACTGTTTATTTGTTAATCTATAACTCTTTAACTGTTCTACAGATTTGGATAACATTTATGATTATAGATATATCGTATAATACGAAATATCTATAATCAAAGATCTTTATCGAAGCTTCTACATGAAACAATGCAACAATGAATTAATTTTTGATTTAAACAACACTTTTTACACCAGGAAATATTGTGATAAAGTTGATTATATCATATCGTTATATTATGAGATAATAAGTAATACTAAATTCTGCTGAGAGTCTCGGCCGCAAGACCAGATAAAAAAGTGCAGACGAAAGCTTCGCTAATTTTCAATATTGGTCTTCATTAAAAAAAAAAAACATAAAATATTTCTCCTGACATTCACAAATACAATAAAAAAGAATCAGCGAAATCTGGTAAGACATTTTCGAGATTTGCGCTTACCAACAGCCAACACACTTAGCGATCAATTTTTTTATTATAGAAAGATGATATAGAATAGATCTATATACAAATCCGTTTTTATTATTATCTTCAAGTCAATAAGTTCTATATAAATATAAAATTCCTTTGAACAATGCTTGAAATACCATAAACTATTGTTAGTTGATGTCACATAAATATAATGAGAATAACTGTACAATTGTTTCTATACCATGAATAAAGAAAAATAACTCTTGTTGAATAAATATTCACTTTTTTATGTCGACTGACGAGCAGACGCATTACCTGATGGTAAGCAATCAGCGTCACCCATGAGCGTTTTCATGGTATGTCCGACAACAGACTAGTTACGAGTGCGTTGCCGACCTTTTGGGGAGTAGGGATTTGGAGATTTAGGGATAAGGGGCGGGGAAGAGATGGATCTCCGGTAACCTCACTCACACGGCGAAACAAAACGCTGTGTTTGTTCTGTGAGGCACTGGTATCGCACCGATCGAGCCGACCCAATCGTGGCGACGCATGGACCCCCACACTTAAAATACAAACCTAAATATCACGCGTTTTGTTTTAAAAGGAGCAGGCATTAAATGACTTCTCCCGCACTGAGTGACGCGAGAGGGAGTGTCAGACTCTTACTGACTAAAAACCACTCCGTTCCTTCTCCTGCTTTAGTCCGAGGCCCCGTCTGTGGTGGTCTATTGGCTCTTTGAGCCGCGCGCGGAACGCTACGCGCCGTTCGCTCGGGTCCGGTTCTGGTGGCCGGAGATCGTCTCTCGGGATTTAGCAGGTATAATGGTGTAACTTAACTATAATAAACTTGTGTTTTGCAGATTATAGACGTGTATGAGAATTCGTATGGTGGTCGTGGCTGTCTGTTGCTGGTGATGGAGTGTATGGATGGAGGGGAGCTTTTTCAGAGGATACAGGATAACAGAGATGGTGCATTAGTGGGCTTGCCTCCCAACCCCGGCTAGAACTAGCTGCTAAAGTCTTTAATAACTAATCGCGTAAACAAAAGTTTTGTCTATATTAATTAATTCGTTAACCGACACTGTATACAATTATAAAGTTGCTACTAGCTTTCGCCCGCGTGGAATAATTACTTCCTGCAGATTTTTGGTATAAAAATTATCCTATGTCCTTTCTCGAGTTCCAAACTATGTCTGTACCAAATTCCATAGAAATTGGTTCAGTAGTTTAGGTGTGAAGAAAAGACAGACAGACAGAGTTACTTTTGCATTTATAATATTAGTTTGGATAACTCTTATGGTCAGGGAAAAGGACACCGCTATACCTACATAAAGTATATTTCTATCGCTTTCCAACACGAAGAAAGGATGGCATTCAGAAATATGAATGGGCTTTGTATAACTGGAGCAAGGAGGGACTGTTTTAGCCAGACGGATGTCCTATAAAGGGTATCGTTGTCGAAAAGCCAGAGCTGCAGGATAAGTGGTTTCGTGTCTAGAGTTGGGCGAAGTATTATTGAGTATTTTCGATAAAAATCTAGTTAAAATACAGCGTTTAGGATTCTACTTAGTGCATATAAGGCAATAAGCTTGTCTTTTTTAGTTAGGTCTCTTTGTCAACAAAAATAACCTACTTCTATACTAATATTACAAAGAGGTAAGTTTGTATGTAGGGGGTAATATTTGGAACCGCTGGTCGGATTGCTAAAATTCTTTCACTGATAAATAGCTACAATGTTCCTGAGTGCTATAGGCTATTAAAGATCGCGCTACGATCAAACGGAGACGAGCAGCGGGTGGAACCGCGTGACAGTAACTAGTCTATACTAATATTATAAAGAAGTAAAATTTGTAAGTAATTTTAACGAAAACGAAATGAGTAAATTTTTTTAAAGTCAATGATATCAAAACTGTTTGATGCACGGCACCTTATAACAATCACGAGTCCAAATATTCCATTCTCGCACTTGACCGTTTTTAGCACATGTGCTCCGGGACTTGTGGAGGTGAACGACCTGGTGACTGACCCCGACATCGAACCGGTGAATGATTTGTCAATGCTCAGAATGATGAATGACCGATGTTGTCATAATTTGAGTCATTAAGGATATGTAACTAAATGTTGGTACAATAATAATATTAACTAATGTTAGTTAGGTTTAAGTGTGGGAGAGCCATGCTTCGGCACGAATGGGTCGGATCTATCGAAGTGATACTGCGGCCTCACAGAAAACCGGTATAAAACAAGCCCAGTTTTATGTTTCGCCGTGTCGATGCCAATCCCTCCCCAATCCTTAAATAACCCTAATCCCAAAAAGATCGACAACGTACTGTATAGCTCCTCCGTTGTTGAGGGATGTCCATGGGTGGCGCTGATTGTTTACCGTCAGGGAATAAGTCTGGTCACTTGCCGTCCTATCACATAAAATATCATCAACAAGAATCATTTTCCCCCCAACCCCGATTCTAAAATCCATAACAGCCAAAAGGACCGTCACTGCACTATTGACTATTGTTGCTGGTGTCCATGGGCGACGCTAATTGCTTACCATCAGGTAAACCACGTGCAAGTTTTGCTCACTACACATAAAAAATATACGAGCAAGCCTAGAGAAAGAAATACTAATTACCTATGTGCAATAAAAAAAAATCATATGGTTTTGATTTAAAAAAAACTAGAAAATTTTCCGGTACATCATGAGGTGTAAACAGAAAACCTACATTTAAGACACAGTACACACCATCTGGCAAACTGTAGCGATCAACAAAAGTGATTGATCTATAACGATTTCACTTCTGATAAACTTTATATAGTTTCTTATAAAACACCTAATAACCTTAGCAAAGTTTATGAAAATCTAGTCTGTTATAAATATTCATGAGATTCTCGGAATCGCGATGAAGTAGACAAACTAATAATAAAATATGCATAGCTGTTTGTTTTTCCTTTCTTTATAAAACAAAAAGAAAATGAGGATCCATGATTTATTTTGTAAAATTATCTCATTTCTTCTGAATAACTTTTGTTTCTTGAAAATCACTACATAGGTAGGTAGTATGAAAATAAATTCGCTTTCTCTGTCCCTATGTATGCTTTTATCTTTAAAACTACGTAACGGATTTTGATGCGGTTGTTTTAATAGATAGAGCGACTAAAGAGGAGTGTTTAATATCCATTAAATAGCGGGGAAATTTAGTATCAACATTTCGCGCGTGCGATGTTACAAAACTCATAATTGACATAATACTATACTTAGATGGCGCTCATGTAGTTTTTAAGACATTTGCGTCTATGTGTGGCATTCCATTTCTGTCGACTGCTAGACATAGGTTACTCCAAAAGCAAGTCATCAAGCGTGATATTCATCATTGTTAGTTCAAAAAGCTTAAGCTTTTTTGTAGGAGGGGGGATGAAATCATCGAATGACTCCTGGTCCTGTTTAAGGAGAGTGTGGTGCTTCGAACCAAACCGCAGTATGTAATTGCACTCATTATAGAGCAAAAATTATAGATAGTTACGTTTTATTACCCAGTGGGCGAAGCCAAAAACAAAAGCTAGTAGCATTTTGATTACATTCCGTTGTTGTTTACAAAACAATTTCTTCGTAAGCGCCTATTTCGATATAAAGGTTAAGGAAGAAAGCTTGTTTAAACAAATAAACACGAAAACAGAAACAAACACTTGTTTTCGTAGAAATAAAGGACCTAGGTACTTTTATCTATACTAATACTAGCTCTTACCCGCGGCGTCGCTCCCGTCATTTGACTACCTACCCTACTCTACCTACTCTACTCTTCGTACCCTACTCTACCTACCCTACTCTACGTAACCTACTCTACCTACCCTACTCTACCTACCCCACTCTACCTAACCTACTCTATCCTATCCTATGTCCTTCTCCTGGCTCTAAACTACCTCCCTGCCAATTTTCAGCTAAATCGGTTCAGCCGTTCTTGAGTTATAAGTGGTGTAACTAACACGACTTTCTTTTATATATAATATATATATATATCTTTTTTTTTTTTTTATAAAACTTTGCCCCACACTAGGATTTTCTCCTGTGTCGTGGGTGCGTTTACAAACATACAATTTCACATGCACATCACACCCAGACCCGGAACAACAATCTGTGGATCACACAAAGAGTTGTTCCGTGCGGGAATCGAACCCGCGACACGTTGCGTGGCAGCCAGTTGCCCAGCCACCGCGCCAACCGTGCAGTCAATATATGTATATAGAATATAGATTATAAAGAGGTAAAATTTGTATGCCTGTATGTTTGTATGTAGGGGTTAATCTTTGGAACCACTGGTCGGATTGCCAAAATTCTTTCACTGATAGATAGCTACAATGTTCCTAAGTGCTATTGGCTATCATACACATCACGATACGATTAAATGGAGCCGAGCAGCAGGTGAAACCGCGCGAAAGTAGCTAGTACTACATAAAATTCCTAACATAGTCTGCGTATGCATATTTCGTAATATATGTCTGTAAGTATATCTTTTAATGAGTCATTGATGTTACAAATAATATTTCTTTTTGGCAATCCTATCTTCAGTTCTGAGTGACAAAATGAGTCACTTATGACATTCTGATATGCGGTGATGATACATTTGGATTTTAGTCTTTGAGGATGTCATCATGTTAATAGGTTATTGACCTCATTTCTTCTTTGTTTCATCATCAACCATCCTTGACTGTTTACTCCTTTTTTTGTCAGGGGAAAATCATCAAATAACTTCTCCCGCCCAGGGTAAGGCGAGAGAGAGTGTCAGACTCTTACTGACTAAAAACCAGCCAGTTCCTTCTTCTGATCCGCGCCTGGCCGCAGTACAGCAGTATTGCGCTTCACCCGCAGCCCCGGCTGAAATGCGTAGAACCCTATCTAGCGCCCTAACCTATTTGGCCGCGGGTTTTATAAAACCCTAGGTTTTATAAAACCCGCGACCAAAGAAAGCGCGTAATCTGAGGCTCTTTGAGACGCGTGCGAAACGCAACACGCCTCACGCTCGGGTCTGGTTCTTGTCGTGCAATGAGCTATCCCCACGCTTAGGGTCGCGTGAGAAATATAACCTAATCTACCTTCTCTAAAACTACTACACATTAACGGTACAAAATTCCCAACTACAGAAGAGAAACTACATATAATGAGAAAATGCCAATGAAATTCAGTCGTGTCGTATCCAGTGGGTTTTAGTTCAACGCATAACAGACTTAATTTGGTCGTCAGCGTGCCGTTTCTGTACACAAAAGGGGGGTGTAATAAATCAATTACCTACTGAGCCTACGTTTATGTATTGCATATTTATGTTGACTAAGCGCCAGGCGTAACAAATTATAATTGACAGTGGTATTTGGTTCTCCATCGTAATGATATCACACACGCGGATATCAGTGATAATACGCCTGATAACACACGATTGTACGGTACTCAACACAGTATCTGCATTGTCATCGTCGATTTTTACGCAATAATCTAATGGAATTTCGTTTTTTTGGTAAATAATCTTGTTTCGATAAAAACGATCATATGTAAGTGGTTCCGTTTGGAATTTGACTTTTTGGAGAGTTTTTATTGATGAGTAAAGGCCTCTTCTCACACGGAGATAGTTTGAGCATTAATCACCAATATTGTTTTTTTTTTATGGAATAGGTCGGCCTATTTTCCCGTCGGGGGTTAAAAAAAGAATTACTCGGGTCTTGAACACACCTAGGTTATACACCCTTTGGAGAACAAAGACTGCGGCAAAGAATTCCACTTCTAAGCAGTTCGGATTATAAAATATGAGGCAAACCGCTTCAAGCGTGTAGCTGGGATATTCACAATGAAGCGATGACGTATTGCCAGTTGTCTGAAGGTACGATGGTGGAGCTAGGGGGAATTAAGTTGTGCAGCTCCCCAGAACACATTCATACACAGTTCAAGCAACACTAGATATTAAATTTACGTAGAACAGAATTAAATTGTTTCCCAGGCTGAAGTGGGAGTGGGCTAGCCACG